CTTACGTTAAAGTTTCATTTTTCATATGCTTCTTCTTCTTCTTTCCTTTAACGTGTAATGAAAATTCAAGTCTAAATAATTTTATAAATATTTTATAAATTCATAACTTTAATTCAACCCATTAGGAAAAAAATATATTTTTAGTTCAATATTTTGTAAGAATTCAAAAATTGCATTGTTTCCAAAGTAGGAGACCATCAAGAATCAAGGTCCTTGAGGATAATCAAAGATAACCAGGTTATAAATACCATAAGTACTTTAATATATATTATTATATGAATTTTCTTAAGAATTAATCTTCTATCGAGATTTTATAATTTATGCCGTGTTTAGTAGTTTATCATTTTTTTCGCCTTTATGAGTTGATTTTGAGCTTTGAAATGAAGTTTTGATTGTTACCTTGTTTAATTAAATTTTGGTATTATTAGATTACAAAAGTGAAATGACTTCATTATTTATTTATTTTTTTGTCTATTTTTCAATTGATAAGTACTTCCATACTTAATTTTTATAATTTTTTCAATGTAAAGAACCAGGCCGATTGGATTGAATCGAAATTGATTGGTTCGGTTCCACTTTGGTTCTATAGTTGGATATGGAACCAATGTTTTCATTTCTAAGATTCTCATTGATAGTTGATTCAGTTCGATTTTTTTTATTATTATTAGAACCAGTTCGAGCCAAATCACACCAAACCCCAGTGGCGAGCAAGTTCATATACATGGAAAACGTACGCACATGTAGAATGCGGTCTTGAATTTATTCATTTATTTCTTGGTTAGCTATTTATTCTCATATGTAAACGGTTCAAAGAAGTTAAAAAAGTCAGTTCACTTAGGGCTTGATTTCTTGAGAGAATGTACGATGAAGAATTAAATAATAATAATAATAATAATTCAATTTCGAGAATGTGATTTTCAAAATGAATGTAGAGAAAAGTGATTTCTAAAAATCACTTACACACAAGTACTTAATTATTTTTTAAATTATTGATTAGATGGTCTGACCTTGCCCCCCTTAGGTTCTGGCTAGGAGTTTTGGGGTATCGATTATGGTAATTTTCAAAGTACTGTTTTTTAGCACTTATGAGTGGTTTGATTTTGGATGATTAAAATAGTCTAACTAATGTTTGAAAATTTATTATCCAGTGGTTCATATATAAAATTGCATATATGTTCATATATAAAAAATGTAGGTATGTATGAACAAAATGTTGAATTACTTCATCTCGTACTTCCTCATTGTGCATACATATTGCACAACTAATTCAATTCAAGTCTTAAGTAGTTAGAGAAACATTATATAGATATGAAGTACACATATGGAGATGTACATGATAAGATCATTATTATCGAAATCTGATATTACGAAATTGTAGAGATAAAAACAGATCGAATAAATAAACATCAATTAGTTTGATTCGTTGTTTTTGTATTTTGAAGTACTACTAACATAAGAAGTGTCGTTGTATTTTGAGAGTCGATTGCCATTATTCGTGGGCACCACTGCAAGGCAAATTCGACTTAAGAACAAAGAGTTCAACTTTTACCTCTCGCCTTGCATACATTTGTTTTAGTGTTGCTTTGACATTCTTTTTGGTTGGTATTTTTCAATTATATCATTACCGCTACTCTGTCTAATTTTTTGTAAGGTTGGTAAGTTTATTTTTTGGATTTAAAGTCATCACTCAAATCTATCATCTTTTTCAACAATCCCAACAATAAAAATTCGCCCAGTTATATAATATGGGCTTAATTATATTTTGAAGAAAAATTAAAATAATAATAAACTAAAGGAATTTGTGACTTGTAGCATTCTATTTGGGATTATTCTACTTGTGTAGTGTACACCTGAGTGTACATGTAGCAAAACTCTTATTTTTGATAGATAGTGTCTCTTCATGGACCTTTTTAGTACATTTTGGAGATCAAGTATAATCCTTTTAAATGTTATTTCAAAATAAATTTTATTATTTTAAAATATTAATATAAAAAAAATTATGCTCTATCCTCCTAAAAACGGTGGAAGGTTTGATTCAAAGGAGAGGGGTGTGAAAAAGTAAAAAAATGCTGTTTGTACAGCATTCCTTTGACAGCAAATGTCACAGCCCCCTCACAAATGTGGGGCCTGTGAATTTTTTATTCCTTGTGGGGCCCCTCTCATGTGAGGGGGCTATGAAACTTGCTGTCAAATTTACTGTGACTGTAGCACAGCTCGAAAAAGTATTAGGATGGATGACATGTGTTATTGTGCACACTGATTTTGATTTTTTCATAAAGGTTATTCAACCGCACATCACGATTACTAAGCTTTCTCAATAAAATAATTTTGGATGTGTAGTCATATTTTTTATTTATTTTACTTTTTAACTGCGCATTATTAAAAAAAATTTATTTTTCGCAAAATTTATTTTAAAAAAATCTATATCAAACGGGGCTAAACAAACATTAGCTAACTAATTATTCATTAACATGTAGGTATCTCTTTAAGTTCCTGCTTGGTAGAAATTAAAATTAAGAAGTCGAAATCAACAATTAATTTTAATAAAAAATCACAAATTTTCAACCACGAATTTCATCAATTTCTATCAAAATCTAATAAAAATATGATTTTAACCTCTACGAAATAGAGACTAAATGTGTGAAAAATAAATATTTAAGTCATGAATTTAAATCTTGCAATACATTTTTTGATAAGAAAGTTTTGCTTAATTTTTGACCATATAAATATAATTAATAATCAGAATAAAGTTTTTGAAACGTGTTATATTAGAGAAAACCGTGGTTAGCCAAGGAATAGTCGAAATTTCAAAACTAAGAAAATAAATAAAAGAAACACGTGGCCGACTTATTCAAATGAATGAAATATATAACTGTTGGTTCGAAGAGTTAGTGGATACAAAAACACAGAAATCTCATTTTACACGTGCATTCTATTATTTCTTCACATTCTCGTCCCTATGTAACTTTTCCAGATTGTCCATTCTGCGTTTCTTTCGTGTGTGAATTGTCATTATCCTCAAAACCGCCAGTTCATCATCAGTTCCACTTCTGTATATAAATTCATATGGGTTTTCATCACTCTCTCAACTTCATAGTTTCACTCTTGATTAGCCTACTTTCTCTCTCTAGATCCCTCTCCTCTCTCTTTCTGCATCGGCATAGTATTTATATACCGGAAAAGATGAAGAGAAACTGTAATTTGGAGCTAAGGCTCGTAACACCGTCTGCATCTTTCCATCACAATGCTCGCTTCGATCCAATGTAAGTCTCTCTCTCTCTGCACATATACCTACACTGAAAAACTTATAAGATTACAGTTTGGCTCATTTTTTATTACTGTGTTATTGAAGGTTGAATATGGTGAATGAGAGTCCAAATGAAAAGCAGAACCAACAACTAACCATTTTCTATAATGGAAATGTTGCTGTTTGTAACGTTACAGAGCTTCAGGTACGCTCGACCGCAGTTTTCTAACATGTTCTACTGAGATCGTATCACTAGTTGATTCGACTTTTTTGTGGATAATGATTAAATGGTTTATTAAATATTTAATTACCATTCTTGAACATCAAACTTTATCCTAGTGTTAATTATTTGATTTTTTTTTGGAAATTAATGTAGGCTCGAGTGATGATATTGCTTGCAAGACGAGAAATGGAGGAGCGGACGAGGGAATGGTCGCCTGGCTCAGATCCATGTTCGCCGTTGCTTCAGTCGCCACTGCATAGTCCGACTAGTTTTTGCATGAGGAGATCATTGCAAAGGTTCCTCAATAAGAGAAAGAGTCGAGTTCAAGCTATGCCCTATCATCGATAGACGATAATCATGCCAATTAATGAGATAAGCAATTTGGAGAATTTGTTTATTGATTAGAAGAGAAGAAGGGAATTATGGAAATGTTTTCCTAAGCACCTTTTCTCATATTTAAATGATATGTAGCATGGAACATTGTAAAAGATTTTGGCAATATTGACTTGAACGGAGTGATGGGAAAAACTCATGTAGTCGACCAAATTTATTGAGATTGCTAAGCACCAATAATGCTATTCATGGTAAAGACTACAGGTAGTCACCTAAGTGGCATATATACACATGACGATTTGTGATTTAACGTATAAGTCAATAAAAAAATTATCAAATTAATACATCAAATCACAAATAATCACATGTATGCGACGTATGACGACTACCAATAGTTTTCACTACAAATAACA